ATTTTGACCAATTTTTTCCCATTTAAGTAATAATAATTTCTTTTTCTCTTCTTAATTTGACTATATTTTTCTTAAAATGCACTAAATAAATTTAAAAACCACAAAAAAACCCAATATCTTTATTTTTTTTAAAAGAAGAATTTGTAGCAAGTAGTCGGATACCTTAGGAAACAAATTATTTACATCCACGGTTCACATTCTGTAAGCATCTAAATAACTCTAAATATTGTAGTGTTTTCCATCTTAACGATTTAAAAATTTCCTTTGGTTGTTATGTTTATATTTTGAAAGAATAATACAAAAGGCTTTGAAACCACATGCCGACTACACACACAAGGAGTGTTTATATCGGATGAACAGATAAAACGGTAATAAATAGGGCATAAAGCAACATATGCCACTCTTTAGAACAATACATCATTAAAGACAGATAAGCTCATCTGGTTTCACTCATCATTATCTCACAGGCACATCGCATAGTCACGAAAGAGTGAAATTTACTCGCACAGATCTTTTAACATATTAATAATCATACGATAAAACTTTACGAAGAAACATTTTTATCAAAAGATGTTTTTTGCAATTCTGATCCACTTTGCATGTGATGAAAAATATAAAGTGTAAGTATCAGGTCACGGAAATGTTATAATTCGTATCAGTCATTCATGGTTGAGATTTTGAAAAGTACAGGAGATCTTAAATACAGGTAAGTCTTTTATGGCTTTTATTGTCACCTTTCTTCTATTGGAAGTTATATTTATTCTACTAAATGCTCGCGCGTGTGTGAAACGTATTCAAAAGGGGAAATAGAAAACACATGGACGAATTTTTTAAATAATTTTTAATATTCTTGTTGCCCTTTTTCTTTATTGAGGTATATGGATTTCTAGATGTTTAAAACAAACCTAAATTCAAAATAATGGATCACCTGTGTATTAAAGTGAAATTTTTGAATCCACTTAAACATAATAATAGCTACAAGTTCTTTTTATAAATAGAAATGTGTGTATTCTAAAAACATGTGTTAGCTTTATTAAAGTTGTATAAGTTTCCCATAGCGTAAAATACCGGGTCTCTCAAATTTTCCAAGATGTCAAATTGTAGGAACCCGTCTTGCTGGACCAAGTGTTTAGGTGTTTTTTGAGGTATAGTGTCTAAAGTCCTGACAGCACTTTGACTCCTGACAGCACTTGGTAAAGCAAAATAATAGATGGATAGAAAATCTGAGTGAAAGAAAGTGGAATTTAATGTCTAAAAAGCGAACAACTGCAGTAAAAGTGACCTCAGAGCTCAATCAGCATCTGGATTCTCCAATGTCAATGATTAAAGTAAGAAGGCGTTTTCAGAAACAGAACTTTTGCAGCGGAGAAGCAATTTCTAAGCCATTTGTCACAGATGTTGATGCCAAGTGTCGTTTACAGAGGTGTCACTTTACCAACACCTAGTTGATTGGTAAGTGGAAGAAAGCAATATGGTCTGACGAATCGTCTTTCACACTTTATCCTATAATAAGTGCACGTATGGAGGACACCTGCATAAGTGTATGCTGTTGGTTGTCTCTTTCCACCTGTCAAGCATGGAGGGGAATCTGTCCCGATATGGGCAACCATGTCAGAGGAGGTTTCTGCTGTACCAATCGTAACCTAAAAGGAAGGATCATTGGGGAAAAGTATATAGAAATTTTAGCTGTGACCAGGTTTATTTTATGATGCAAACTTTGTTTCCTGAAGGAGATGGAGTTTACAGGATGGCAATGCACCTATCCATTCGTCCGGACTTGTCCAGTCATAGTTTGATAAACACGAGGATGAAATTAAACATTTATCTTGACATCTATGATCTGATGATTAAACATCTATCTTAAGGTATGGGCCTTAGGCTGGGTGGCTTTGTTGGTTTGACACTGACCTTGTACGCCTAAGGTTGCGGGTTCAAACCTGGCCCAAATCGGTGGATTTTCTTGATGCAAAAAAACGATAGCGACTATGTTGTCTGATTATGCGGCATGTTAAAGATCCCTTGAGTGCCTGTTTGGGTTGAGTGCTCTTGGCAAAATTAGATTCCTAGTATAAGTTCGCTTCTCGTCAGAGCTCAGGTGCCTTCTTCTGGTAGGAAGCTGAGCGTCAAAATTACTTGCGGCATTTGATATCTCCTATATGTTACCGCAATAAAAAGTGATACCGGCTGCCGGGGAATGTACTAGATCTGTAATAGTAAAAATGCCACTCCGCAGCCTCATTGGAAAAAAATATTGGAAATGGGTTACAAGTATCTTGATTTATGTAAACCTTTCACAGACCACCTTTCGTTTTTGACCCCCCCCCCCCATTTTTTTTTCTTCATAAACGTCCATAGAAACCATACTGGGAATCTATAGCTTAGAGTTATATAACTTTATCAAAACATCATTTTTTGACATATTAACAAAAATAATGTTATTAGTTTATTGAAAAATAAAAGAGAGATATTTTGCTTGCGAAATTTATAACTTTCTTTAATATATAAGTAAATAAAAGTGTCATACTCTTTGTATTACTAAAAAATTTCAATTATTCATCATGTTTTAAAAAAGAAAATTTAGCCTTTTATAATATTTTGTTGTGTGCAAATAACCAAATCTCAAGAAAATAAATTATTGCTTAAGGTCAGTTGTTCAATTGAAACGCAATACCTTTTCTACAATCAAAAATGATTTATCAATAAGTCTACGATGCTTTTAAATCAAGAATGAGTGAAAATATCAACAACTTTTTGAACGCGTTCTGATTATAATTATCTGATATATACTCACTGTTATCGTTCTAATACTACATGTACGAGTAGCTTAAAAATAACTTGTATGTATCAGAGTATCTACTTGCTAACCTTGAAAAATTGTATTGTGATATCATTTAAGCATTCCTTTGTTAAAACTGGATTATCTGGTCCAAGATACGTGAATGTTATTCAAAGTTTTATTTTTCTATTATAAACATATAGGGCCGAAGCTGTTATAGCTAAATTTAAAAAAACTCGATTTTTGTTCGAATATTTATATATATATAATAAATAGATAATTTCAATCTGAAAACCACCAGTTTTTATTTCAATTGAAAGTAACTCTGCAAATACTCTGAAATTTTCAAAACTTCTAGTTTATGTTTTGTTGAGAAGTCTTAGTTATATATATATATATATATATATATATATATGCATAAGTCAATTACTATTAGTATAGAAGCATTTTTCTTTAAAGAGGAATATTTTGAAAATTCTTTTTTTGCCCCCCCCCCCCCCGAAATCAAGTGCTTTAAAGAATTTTGTTTACTGTAATAATATTGATTAAAAAAATTCTATATTTAATTAAGGTGACGCAAAAAAATTTTCCTTTATGCACTCTTTTAAAATTACGGTTCTGAAAGTAGTCGGTTGCCTTAATGAATTCAAAAATTGGCAAAATAATTGCTATATATAGAACAGAAGCAAGCGTGTTGAACCATTTTGGAATCTTTACTAAGTGGGTTGTCTTTTGAAACAGTTTGTCTGCCTAGCATAGTATGTCATGTTTTTCTTCTTATGAAGAGTCAAAGTTAGGTGACATTATTTTCTCAACACTCCGACCCAAACAAATTTTATAAGTTTAACTTGTTTTGTAGGGAAAATTCCCCAGATCGCAATTAAGGGTATTCTTCCCAAACGCCTTGCTTATACTACTTGAAGCTTTTACAGCATTATTAACAAGTTTATTATGACATAAAAATCGCGAGGATATCGGCAGAGTTCATATATTTACGAAATTAAAAACAAATAATGAAATGGAACCCTTTTGATGAAATCGTTGTTGAAATGTGGCTATGGCAATGAATAAGACGAGGTTATGGGGAAAATGAAAACTTAACTAAAATGGGGAGACAAATGTTTACATGTAATAAAAATCTGGCACTTCATATGCACAACAACCTAATAATAATAACCCATCTCTAATAAAGCAAGGGTGCTAATTTGATATCACGGGCCACGTGCCAAGTTCTTGTTTATGTTCGCCAAGATGGGCGATAACATTACAATGTAATTACTTTGATATTTTTATCGTCTGGCGATGTGGTTGCTATAGAGATAACGTATATTAGAAATAATTAACTTTTTAATTTACATTCAAAAATTTCAATGTATATTATGTAATTATTTTACAATTATTATATGAAGTAATCATATAATATTCATTATTTATAAAAAAATATATATATTTTTTATTAATATTATTACATGTTATTTAGTTATAATTATGTTATTAAAACTGTTATTTATTTATAATTAATATGTTTTTGAGTATTCTCATGTATAATTTTTTTCAACAATACAATGATTGTTCTTTTCTATAATTAATATTAAAGTATATGAATGATTATTATCATATATACTGCATAATAATATTAGTAGTACTTGTAACTTATTATATTTTCTTTAACTAAGATCAATCAATAAAGAACGAATATATTCTCAATATCTTCCTATATTGAGAATATAGAAATTCATTTGAAATATATTTCAATGTATCTCAAAACAATTCTTTAAACTCATCCTCCTGACAATTTTTTTACCGCTAGGCCGCCATCTTGAATTCCATTCCAGCGACAATAAACGCTGCTTGGCGTTATTCCTTTATAGCGCCAAGCAGCGCTTGGTGCCTTGCCCCGTGATATCAAATTAGTTAAAAAGCAAGTAATATATATAAACAAAATTTGGTCAATTTCTACTTAGACCTACAAAGAAACATTTTATTTTGGTTGCATTTTTGATGAAACAGTTACAATTAATATAAATATGTATATACCTATAACAGAATCACAATATTAAGGGTCAAAATAGAAAGCGATTTTCCTTGCAATTTTCCATTTTCCTTTCTATATATGGTGTTGGACTATTTTTCCATTTGTTACTATTTATTCACTCATTATAAATTTCAATATTCTAATAAAATATATTATAGAAGAAAAAAATCACATTCTCTGAAATTAGGTCTTTTCAGGTGGGATTCGAAACCACACACTTAGGATTAGTAGTCCAACACGCTATCCTTTACGCTACAGGGACACAACAAATAATTTTCCTTTCTATATATGGTGTTGGACTTTTATTTTTGTTTGTTACTGTTTATTCATTTTTTAATTTAATTAATGAAGAATATTAAAAAGAAAACTGAATTAACATCAAGTATCATCCACTGCAAGTTTAAAAAAATGTATTTGAACATGAATGGATAAATAGAAAGTATTTTATTAACGATTGTTAATTTAATTTTTTTAAATATTGATTTATTAATAAATTAAAAAATGAACAAATAGTAAAAAATACAAAAATAGTCCAACATCATATATAGAAAGAAAAACTGTTCGTTGTTTCCCTGTAGTACAATGAATAGCTCGTTGGACTTCTAATCCAAAGGTCGTGGCTTCGAATCCCTAATGGGATGGTCTAATTCCTAAGGATGTGATTTTTTTTCGAAACTATTTTATTAGAATAATTAAATTTAATTAATGAATAAAAAGAGTAACAAACAAAAAAAATGTCCAACACCATATATAGAAAGGAAATGGAACATTGCAAGGAAAAACACTTTATATATATATATATATATATATATATATATATATATATATATATACAATATACACTCAATGAGTGTATATATATAACTTGAGTGTATATATATAATATATATATAAAAGTGTGAACTATAGTAGGAATTGAAAAAAACTCTTATTTATCTTGTAGAGGTAACTTTTTTGAATGCGTTTGATAATACGGAAGCTCATAGAAACATTTCAATGGCGCATCTTGTCTTCACTTCGTTTTTGTATAAATCTGCCCCTCCCCAAGAGCCTTGAAATAACGAAAGTGACAGGAATTACTGTCAGATCTTAAAATCTAATATTCGAAACGTAATTTCTCAAAATGATGTTTTCTAAAAAATCAAATATTTCTTCCCACATTTTCACAAGTTGTGTTTCCAAATAACTAAATGCAAGCTAAACGCTGTTTTCATTTTTAAAAATTCACCTCCATGTGGTTCTTTTTAAAGAAACTGTATTTATTTCTAATTCATAAGAAACCTGTAGACATTTTTATTACTTATATTATTATTTTTTTTTGTTTAATGTTGCGATAAGAACTGCCATTTTATTTAGTAGATATGTTCTCATACTTATCTTCCTTTTAAATGATTTTACAGAAGATAGTATTATTACGTTTCATTCAACAATTACTGTTTTGTTTTTTAAAGCGTGTGGTAGATGACATAATCTTAATTAGTTCCTTGTTTCATTTTTCAAATTTTGACGAATCATCATAAATAATTTTTGTTTGGACAATTAATAGTTTTTTTTTACTTGCGTTGTATAAAAAAATTCTATTAAATTTTACAGATAAACAGATATACTCAGATTTGGTGAAGAAAGTGTACAATTTCTCAGTATTTAATTCTCCAAATTACAATTGAGACTTTTTCGAAAAACAATTGCCTTTATTATGTTAAGATAATGCTCTTATAATTTTTATATGTCTTCTGTTTATATTTTGGTTAGTTAACTAAGAATTTATCATTTTGATTTATAACGTATTTTGGTTTAACTACAGTAAAAATGAATTCCTTGGACTTTTCGGACATTCCAATAATGCGACGACCAGATGAAAAATCCGGTACACTTCTGAAGAAATTTAAGAAAGTTATTGAAGGCAAATATAATGTGAAAATCGGTGAGTTACTTTGAAGTTATGTCAGCTTTTATTATATTTTCTGCAAAATAAAGTGAGAAATGTATTAAAACTGTATAATTTTTTTATGTTAAGAATACTTTTATAAATTACAGGTTTTTAAACGTAAGGGTTTTAATCAAAATAAAATTTTATTTATGTTAATAACCATACAAGTTTTGAGATATGTTTTTAATTTATATATACTTAAAAATAGCCAAAGGCGATATATGTTTGTAAATATTGCTTCAAAATATTTAGCCAAACCATTGTTTTATTTTTGAGTAATTTTTTGATGGTTTGATGAAAAATTTGATGTGTTTTTCGTAGAATATAATACCTTGTAAATTCTTTCTAAGGTACAGAAAATTTCTTTAAATGAATAATTTTACGCTAAAACTTTACTCATATCTATTTATTTTATTGATGGTCATTATAAGAGCGAGTTTAAGCAAAGTTTTTTTTCCGTTCTAGTTTCTAAAAATTTGATTAAAAAATTGTCCATCATCCAAATTTTAATTTTGAATACATTTGTAAACTTATTTTAAAAATTGAAATATACTGTAAATTTATAGAAAAACTGCATTTTGAAAGGTATTTTTTAAGGCAGACTTGGAGTTGAAAAACAGAAATAATTCGATTTGTAAAATCATTCACAGAATTCGCACATTGCAAAATATTCTTATTTAAATAAATTTTTAATATGGAATAATTAATATGAGCTCAATATTTTTTCAATTATAGGGGATTATTGGGACTTTCACAATTGGTCAACCGAAAATTTTGTTGAATTTTGGACGGAAATATGGAATTTTGCTGGCGTTATTTGTTCAAAGAAATTTCATAAGGTAAAATAACTAAATTTTCGCAATTTTTTTGTTGTTGAAAAATCATAAAAATATGATGTTAAGTGATATATATACTCCAAAGATCAATTGTTTTTTTAGAAAAACATAAATGCTTACTTAAATGTGATTTAAAGTTTTAAAAAAATAAATCAATTATAAAATTTAGGGTTCAAAAGTTTTCCTTATGTTATTCATAAAGTTATCTTCTATCTCTTTAAAACAGCAAACTAAATTATTTGGAAGTATTAAATATTTAGAAATTTTGACAAGAATTAGGTTATTCAGTAATAAATTTAAAAAAAAAAACATCTTTTTTTCCTCATAAATTAATTATAAAAGTTAATTTTTAAGAAAAAATTAAAATTTTTAAAATGTTTGAAATTTTTAACTTTGCATTGTGCACTTTTTTTTATAAATAAAATTTCTAAATTTCATATTTATGTTCATCTTTTCATTCTAAACATGTTGTTGTTGTTGCTAATCCTCCAGGGTCTGACGAAGTCAGACAAGATCAATTAAATCGTTGACTCTCAAAAAGTCCAGCACAAGAAAGGGATCCGTGTAGATATCTTTGCTTGTGAGGTCCATACAACGCATTATGTGCTCCGGGGAAGCCTGGTGATCGTGACACCTTGCACAAATGGAGAAGATCTTCTTGTTCACTGAGAATGAAATTCACTTGATGTGACCACTAGCATGATGAGAAAGTGTAGTCTGGGAGTATCTGTCACACTTGAGGGCTAGGGCCAATCCGGGTCTATTACCCGCATACCAATGATGGGTGGGAAGCGCTCTCTACTCAACCAAATTTTGAGATTTTTTTAAGGAGTATAATTCCAGATAGGTAAAGGTGGATGTAGAGGGAGTTGGAAGATTGTTCTCCTTTGCTAGTTTGTCCGCCATTTCATTGCCATAAAGTTCGACGTGAGATGGGATCCATTGAAAATGAATATCATGGTGTTGCGATATATGGTTCAGTTTGTGTAAGATGGAGACATTTTAAACATTTATGTAACGAACAAGGTGATCCATAAAAATAATGAATGTATTTTTATAATTTACATTAACAAAAAGATAAGTACTCTTAAGTAAGTACTCTTTCTTCGTAAGGATTAAATTTTAAAAAAATAAATAAAACTAGACTATTTAAGTAAGCGTAGTATTTTTAATGAGAGTCAAACCAAGTGCACGATGTTGTTTCCAAAGGTTTCTTTAAGCCGCCACATACTGAAAAAAGAAATTATAATACTAGTATTAATGGAAGTTAAACACTTTATGAAAGAGATAAATGAAATCTCTCTCTCTCTCTCTCATTTTTACCTTTGTATTACAGAAAAAGTTAAAACCCGCTCGGTTAAGAAAAAGGTTGAAAATAGCAATGTATACAAACTCGAATTTCCAAGCCGAAATCGAAATTTCTGAAAAGGATACATTTTACGATGATTTATTCGAAGACACTTGCGATTCCGTCCAAAGGATAAATAAACGAATATAAGTACATTCATAAATAAATATACAGTCGACTCTCGATAATTCGAAGTTGAAGGGACCAATGAAAAACTTTGAATTATCAAGAGTTCGAATTATCAGAAGGTAGGAATAAACTCCCAAAATACATGAAGAGAAATTTTTTTCTAACACATTTAAATTTGAAACTATGTAATAAAGCAACAATTGAACATAAGTATAAAATTATTTTAAATGTATTTTTAAAAAGTACATATATATTATGCAGTATAAATATTATACAGAAGTCCTGTATTAAAAGAATACATTTATGTAATACAAACAACTATTAAAATAATATATACTGTACATAATACATTTTTTGACGAAAAAAATCTATTATCTTTTTTGTCTGTTTTATGAGGTTAAATCTAACTTAGTCAATAGATTTTTCTAGAATAAATGAAGCTTGAAAAATGTCCGCGTCAACATGATTTTAAATGAAAAAGTTGCGTAGATTGTTAAGTGACACACACTTCAGCTTCCGTCAGAGTTCTCGGAGTCAACTCCGATGGTCATCAAAGGAACTATGTTACAGGGAAGACAAGCAGAAACAATACAACACAAAATATGTAAGGTCCAACCTGTTTGCTACAGGACTCTACATGATAATGAGTGTTTGAATTGTCGACAGTTTTATACGATCACTTCGAATTATCGCGTACTCTATTTCGGCCAGCTACAGATTTTACTTCCAAATATTAAGTGCACCAAAACGTATTGTTTTAGTTCGAAATATCAAGAGTTTTTCCAGGAGCTGAGCATATACTTCGAATTAACGAGAGGTTCGTATTATTGAGGGTTTGAATTATCGAGAGTCGACAGTACCTGATTAATTGAATTTATTATTATAAAAAAGTTTTAAACAAATAAAATATTTCCACAGGTAATTGATAGAAACGCATCGATGGACGGGCCAAAAGAATGGTTTAGAGGAGCGAGACTTAATTTTGCTGAGAACCTCTTAAAATATAGAGACGAC